TGCTATTATTTGGATGATACAAAGATCATTTCAATTATTAATAAAATGTTTAAAATATACTTTATATTTATAGAAACATATTGATAGCTAGGCGTTGATGGCTCATGGCTGTAATCCAAGCTACTCAGGAGGCTGAGATCTGAGGCTTGTGATTCAAAGCCTGCCCAGGCAAGAAAGGCTTATGAGACTTTTACATCCAGTTAACCAGAAAACCAGAAGTGGTGCTGTGGTTCAAAGTGGTAGAGCACTAGCTTTAAGCAAAGAGCTTAGGGACAGCACCCAGGCCCTGAGTTCAAGCCCAATGACCAACAAAAAATTAAAAAAATTATATATAAAACTTACTTTAGGGGCTGGGTAGTTGGCTTGTGGTAGAGTGCTTGACCATATGCATGAGGCCCTGGGTTTGATTTCTCAGTACCACATAAGCAGAAAAAGCCAGAAGTGGTGCTGTGGTTCAAGTGATAGAGCACTAGCCTTTAGCTGAAGAGCTGAGGGACAGCGCCCAGGCCCAGAGTTCAGACCTCATGACCGACAAAAAAAATAAAATAAAAAATAAAATAAAATAAAATAAAATAAAATATATTTTAAATATATATAAAAATACACATAAATATATATTTTGAATATAAAATATATGAAATCAGTTTTAAAGGTTCTATTAGAAATATGGAAAAGAATATGAATGTACTTCAACAGAAGGAATAATACAAATGGAATAATATACTAGAAAATGTAAATTAAGATACTACTTATGTAGTAATATAAGATACTATTAGATAGAAGGATCTTGAAGACTCTTGTTCACAGTTATGGAGAATGTTTAAATTGGCAAAGTTTGGGCAGAAAATTTGGTGATATCTATAGAAATGATAAAAGTATAGTTCCATTTTTTAGCATTTATTGTGGATGAAAGCTTACATGTACTAAGAAGTTATAGTATTATTTTAAGAGCAAAAAGCAGACAAACAAAAACTAGAAACAAGCCAGCGGCCAGTGGCTCATATCTGTAATCCTAGCTACTTGGGAGGCTAAGATCAGGAAGATGGTAATTTGAGCAGAGCCTGGGCAGAAAATTTTGTGAATTGTCTTCTCAACCCATAGTGGGGTGCAGTGATGTATGCCTGTTATCCTAAGCTATATGGAAGATTAAGATGGAAGGAGTTTGGTTATAGGCCAGTGTAGGCCTGGAGAAGCTTAGGCCAAGAAAGTCAGGCTTGGTAGTATGCATCTGTGATCCCAGTGATGATGAGACACATAAAGTAGGCAGACTGTGGATCAGGCATATGTGTTAGAGCTGTGGCTCTGTGGTAGATCCCATCCTTGCAAAATTGAGGCACTGTGATAAAAATTCTCCAGTACCAACCCCCCCCCCCCCCGCTCCCCTTAACACACACACTAAACCACCACCACCACGGGGGGGGGGGGGAGGAATCTGAATGTCTGCTAACTATGGAATAATTAACACATTCATATGATAGACTATATGCAGTTGCTTATACTGTATGAGTTTTTGTTGTTGCTTTTTTTGTTAGTAAAAAATTATTCAAGTTCTGGACATTATGTACGCCTCAATAAATTTGTGAAAACTTAAAATCACACAGAAATGAAACTATACTTTCAAGTCTACCTTCATGAATATAAATGTATAGATAAAAGTTTAAAGCATACACACCAAATCAGTATCTATTGCTACCTTTGTGCAGGAAACTAGGATTGACTAGAGGAGATGCCAGAGATTTCTCCCTTTCCCTGTAATCTTTTTCTGTATTTCATTCCTTTTTGTATTGTTCAAAATTATTTGTCACTGTATTTACATCTTACTTATAAAAATACTATTTTTTTTTGGTCCGGTCGTGGGCCTGAACTCTGGGCCGGGGTGCTGTCCCTTAGCTCTTCAGCTCAAGGCTAGCATTCTACCACTTGAGCCACAGCGCCACTTCCGGCTTTTTTTCCCCTGCATATGTGGTGCTGAGGAATCGAACCCAGGGCCTCATGCATACAAGGCAAGCACTCTACCCAGCAAAATTACTATTTCTTTAATGAAAATCTGTAGCTTAATTCCTTCTGGGAAATAAAATGAAAGATCAAAGACTTTGGAGTTAAATGAACACGTGACTTCAAGTCGGCTGTTGGAGGCCCTAGGGGCTGTCTCCTCTTGTGTTTTCTGGGAGTAGTTTGCTGTGAAGATCAGATTAGCCAAAGCCTGAGAGATTGCTGGGCATGCAGCTGAGCTCCTGACATATAGAAAGATTTTTTTTTTCTTTTCTATATGACCTGTGAGAACTCCAAGGCTAGAACATACTCTGGTTGCCTGGATGTCTGGACAAATAGGAGCTCAGTTACATTTGCTGAAGGAAAGAATGAACAAGCTACATATGTTAACTGTTAATGAATAAACATATGTTCACATATGTTGATTGTTAGTGGGTAAACAAGAGATGTCTTTCTGGATTCCCCCTAGAAAGATCAAATACTTCTGGTTTGTGCAAACTTCACAAATGAAAGAAAACCAAAGATGAGGGCCAGATGGATAAGGGCTCATAGAGCACCCATTGTAAAGATCTGAGGTTTTGAAACTATCTTCTTCAGGGCTCCAGGCTCTGCAGTGTAATCTGTCTATCATGTGCTAGGGATTTGGGTACTAGAAAACCAAGCTGGAAAGGCAGTCTGGGCTAGGAGACTTAATATACACACAGTCAATGGTCAAGCCATATCTGACAAGAACAATAAACTCTGACCTCCAGTCTCAGCATCAATCAGTATAGAACAATCAGAAATTGTTCACTGTCTATCAAGTCTCTACTCCCCCACCACCCTAACTCTTCCTTTTCTTTCAACTCAGGACTAACAAGAGAAAAGATAAATATTCCCTCCATACTAATCACAGAGTATATCCTGCTTTTAGCTTCTCTGTGCCAACGGCTTCCATCAGAGTAGCCCTGAAAGTCATTTTTTTTGTCCCTCCAAGGCTTTCCCACTCCTGTGACTGACTATGAGTCTCTGCCAAATACAAAGGATGTTAGAAGACACCCTTGCTACATACAGCACGCTCTAAACGCACAACCGATTCTCAGTGGTCTTACTCATTTCTCCAAGGCTATATCTCACATTTCAACTAGATACAAGATACATTCTCAATATCACATTTAAAGATAAAATTTCATTTTTAAAAAGAGTTCTCTAACTTCATTTTAAAAAATCGCCAGTGTAGATCAATGCCAAGAACCAAAATTTCTCAAGAAATCTGGGAAACGATACTCAGCTTATATTAAACCAAGAAACAAACAATGCCTATGTAGAAAGCAGCACTGGATTGTGAGGCCAAAGAGAAGGCTTCATCTAGACCATAGGCAGGTGCTTCCAGAGACCTGTGTAGGAATTCATCCAGTAATCCAGACATAAGATGAAGTCTAGAAAATGCAAGGACTAGAAGGTCTATGTGGTAAGTTATCTTATCAGCATCTCCTCAGAGATTGGGCTAGATTATCAACAGTTCTAAGTCTATTGAAATGTCCACATTTGGACAATGAACCAAATACAGAAAGAAGAACTTAGAAGAGAGGGAAGGGGTACAGTTATAAAACATAATGCATATCCTACAAAATTAAGAAAATTAAGGGAAGGCATCAGATTGGAAGGCAGGGGAGAATGATGGAAGGAGTGATGTTGATCAAGATTCACTGTATTCATACACTTCTTCATTGAATGGCAACTCCTTTGGACAACTACTTAAGAAAATAAGAACTTATGTTGGGTGCCAGTGGCTCACGCCTATAATCCTAGCTACTCAGGAGGCTGAGATCTGAAAACCACAGATCAAAGCAAGCCCAGGCAGGAAAGTCCATGAGACTCTTATCTCCAATTAACCACCAGAAAACTGGAAGTGCTGCTGTGGCTCAAGCAGTAGAGCGCTTGCCTTGAGCTGAAGAGTGCAGGAACAGCGCCCAAGCCCAGAGTTCAAGCCCCACAACCGATCAAAAAAAAAAAAAAAAAAAAAAGAACTTAGAGGTTTGGTTTTTCTTGTTTTGTTTTTCCTAAAGGAAGGTGGTTGGGATGAATCCAGTTCCCATTTCCATGAAAAGAGCAGCTTTACAGACAAGTTTGGCCAATTTACTTGGAAGAACCCAGTTAAACAGATTTCTTTTTTGGCAGGACTTTGCCAAATCTTCAATATGAGCCAGACAAAGCTAAGAACAGCACCTAGACCCTGAGTTCAAGTTCAGATACCTGAACACAAAAAACTGCAACAACAACTAAAAAAAACCCTTAGTATGCTAATATATATTATAAATCTACAAGATAGGAAGTAGATTTGCAGCATTTGATAAACTTACTTGATCACACAAATTGTTTTCCTTCCCATCTGTTTGCATCTCCCAGAACACATCATTTTGTAACCTATAGTTAGTTTAGAGATACAGATTTAAGGCAATATTACCTTTGAGAGGAAAATAATTTTAGCTGGCCAATACTTTTTGTCACCTATACTAATTCGGGGACATTAGGATTAGAAGGCTGGCTTGTGAAGTGTCAGTGTGTCTGTGGGGGGCGCAATTTGATGGGCAAGAAAGAATACAGAACCATAAAGCAGAGCTGGAGGCTAATGGAGATTACATTTGGGTTTTGAAACAGTCTAAGCACAGTTTAACTATTCTACTTGTTAGGGATTCTGACAGAAAGTGTTAAATTTCCAGATGGAGAAATCAAGGCTTATTTTCATTTGCTTAGCAATTTTCCTTAACCAGCCCTAATATCATTATCTCTAGTAAGACAATGCAAGGTGGCCCGGAGAATCCTGGTGTAGCAAAAAGATCAAGGCAAATGATTCTTTCTGTACTACTGCAGTAGTGATGGCCCATGGTGCCATTTTAGGATGGAGCCCTCAGAAGGCAGAGGGATGATGCAGTATCTCTGATGCCCCAATAAATCAGGTCTCTTTTAAACCCTGTTAGGGTGCAGTGGCTATAGGCAGGAAAGGAGCACCAGTCGTATTTCCTTACTTTAGAATCACGCAGCCTGTTCCTGCTGGCGGTGCTATCCAAAACACCTGGATTCGGGTCCTTCTCCGAGGGGTGCTTTCAGTGACTGCCACAGGGCAGTTACTCATAAACTGGGTTTCTTCTTCATCGATAATCTAGGGAAAAGATAGTGGAAAAGAAACACATTAAAACTCCACGTTCCTTCGAAGGGCCTCCAAGCTCCCACATTGACACTTTGTTAATTCTATTTTGCCTCCTGTCATTTCGAATTAGCAGATCTATTCCCCAAGGTCCCCAAATAGTGCTTGACAAGAGTCCCAGCCAAGGCTGGTGGAATGTATTTAATGTAAGGACCAGGATCTGCACATCTGCACATCTGAGCTTGTGCAAGCACTTTCCGGAACCAACCACTAGGTGACGATCTTGCTCATTTCACAGAGAACTGGTGTCCACTTCAGGGAAGGAAGAGGGTGGCGGAGGGATACTACCAAAGCAAACACTGGTTTCTGTACTTTGTTCATCTACAGCATTATAACTTAAAATTAAAATGTAAAAGAAAATACTCTTGTAGAGGAAGCATAGCAAAGCATAAAATGTCTCCCAGCGTCATAGCACTTTTTACCTATGTGGTCTCTCCTTACTGTACATTAAGATAGAATAGAGAGGACTAATCTGTATTCTTCCAAGTACAGATTAGTATGGTACCCAGAACAGGAAAGTTTTCTATTCTCCAGGGTCATTTCAGCCAATCTTCTACCAGCTTGCCACTGGGTCAGCTCTGGAACTTGCCCTACTCCCTACTAGAATTGTAGCCCAGAAGGATTTTCTAGGGAAGCCATCAAAATGCAATTGGTTTTTAAGTGCCAACTCCAAATGATGAGTAATAATAGCGTGTCAGGAACAGCACATATAACATTAGTAGGTAACATGTCTAGCATGTGCTAGGCTCTAAGCTAAATGCTTTGTGTGACTTAGTTATCAAAATTTCAAGTTAATTAATTATTATGCCCACATTCTATTTTATTTTGTGCCGGTCCTGAGGCTTTTTCGCCCAAGGATAGTACTCCACTTGAGCCATACCTCCAGTTCTGATCTTTTGCTGTTTCAGTGGAGAAAAAGTCTCTTGGATTTGTCTGCCTGAGCTGGCTTTGAACCAAGATCCTCAAATCTCAGCCTCCTTAAGTAACTAAAACCACAAGTGTCAGCTACTGATTTTTAAGTTTTGCCTTTTGTTTTGTTTTGTTCCTGGCACTTGTACAAAGGGCCTGGACACTGTCCCAGAGCTTTGTTGCTCAAGATTAGTTCTCTACCACTTGAGCCATGGCTCCACTGCCAGCTTTTTGGTAGTTGATTATAAGAAACTTTCCTGGCTAGGCTATCTTTGAATCTTGAGCCTCAGATCTCAACCTCCCAAGTAGCTAGAATTACAGGTGTGAGCCATCAGCATCTGGCTTCCTTTACAAGACAGTAAACAAAAACTGCCACTAATATTCCTTAGTCTACCACATAATTTCATCACGTATTTATTTCTATAGTCTTTATCCTAATTCCATTAGGACCCAGTCCAAAGAAATTAACATACATCCTTCTGAGTACACACATATCCTAAAATTTATAGATTCATTTATTTTTTAATGCTCATTTCAATTTTATACATCTGAACAATGTGAGTGTTACTATCATATGGATTTCACTAACTAATGCTCAATTGTTCTGCAGAGTAGCTACACCTAACTTTAATTCTGTCAGCAATGAGCAAGTGATCCTAGCTCCCCCATATCCTTTCTAATAGATTCAATACTATCTTATTTGAGCATATTTTTATAAATGTGGCAGGTTTTCCCCTGTTTGAATTCTCTACTCAGAATCTCTGCCAGTAGATTTTACTATTTTTTTTCCTGATTTTTAGAATTTAAGATACAAATATCCCATCATTTACTACAAATCTTTAATCACCCAGAGATTTATCTTTAGAATATTTAGCATAAACATTCATCTAGGGGAATCAATCATTTTCTCTCTCATGACTTTCCCTTTTGTCTTAAGGGAGAAATAAACCCCTGAGATCATACAGGCATTTCTCCAATATTTTCTTTGATTAGTTTTAATAATTTTACCTTTTATATTTAAGTCTTTACTCCACTTGGGCTTTTTAATTTAAGTCTTTACTCCATTTGGGCTTTTTAATATGAGGGAATAGGGATCCATCTTCATTTGGCCATACTGTGAGCTACTTTAAAAGTTATTAAATTCCATTTTTAGAGCAGAGTTAGGTTTACAGCAAAATTGAACTGACAGTACAGAGAGGTTCTACACTACCAACATCCATACCAATCACGTGTAGTGATTCACATCTATAACCCTAGCTACCTGGGAGGCAGAAATCTGATGTGGTTCATAGCCAGTGTAGAAAAAAAGAGTTCATGAGACTGCATCTTAACCATTGGCTGGGTACAATGGGGTCTATGTTTGTGTGTGTGACTCCAGTGATGTGAGAAAGCTCAAATAGGATGGCAGTCCCTGGTTGGCTTGGACATACAATAAGGTTCTATCTCACAAATAACTGAAGCAGAAAAGGTCTGCTAGAGGCTTGGGTCAGTGGTAGAGTGCTTGCCCAAATACATACATATATTTCACACCAGAGTGGTTCATTCAGTACAGTCAAAAAACCTGGTATATTCTCATCATCCTAGGTCCATAGTCTACTTTAGATTTCCCTTGTGGTGCTATGTCCTGTTATAGTGTCATACAGAATAGCTTCATTGCCCTAAAAATCCTCTGTGTTCTGTCTACTAATAGTCTGTCTCCATAGTCTTATCTTCTCCAGAATGTCATCTGCCATCTGCTTAAAATCAATATGTAATGTTTTACAAGAGATTGACATAACTTTTACTTAGCAATATGATTTAAGTTTCCTAATGTAATTTTTTCATAATTTAATTGCTCATTTCTTTTTAGCACTGAATAATACTCCATTTTCTGTATACCATAGTATATCTCTTCATGGACTCAAGGATATCCTGGTTGCTTCCAAATTTTGGCAGTTATGAACAAAGCTGCTATAAACATCAGTGTCAGTGTGCAAACTTTTGTAAGGACACAAATTTTTAATTCACTGAGGTAAATACTAAGGAGCCTGTGTACTGGGGCAAATGGTAAGGAGTTGCCAGACTTTTGTCCCCTACCATTGTGCATCCCTATTGGCAATGAATGAGAGGTTGAGAGTTCTTGTTGGTCACTGCATTGGATGCTTGTACTTTTGGTTTTGGTCATTCTAACAGGCATGGAGAGATACTGAAATAATTTGCATTTCCTCAAAGATGTATAATGTTAATATCTTTTCATATGAGAACTTGTCATGTGATTACTTGCCATCTGTATATCTCCGTGGGTGAGGTTTTTCAGGTCTTCTGCCTCTTTTAAATGAATAGTTCATTTTCAGATTAAGAGTTCTTTGTATATTCTTGGATAATAATTTTTTTAATCAGATACATCTTTTGCAAATATTTTCTTACAGTTCAGCGTTTGTGCTCTCATTCTCTTGAAATTGTCTTTTAGGGAGAAGTTTTAAAATTTAAATGCAACCCAACATCAATGAATTCTTTCACAGATCATGTCTTTGATGGTGGTATACTGAAAGTGTTACTACCATGCCAAACAAATGTAGGTTTTCATCTATCTAATTTTCTAGGTGTTGTAGCTCTGCATTTTACATTTAGGTTTGTGATCCTTTTCGAGATCATTTTTTGTGAAGGATATATAGAGGTTTTATTGCATGTAGATGTTCATTTGTTTCAGCACCATTTATTAAGAAGATTATTTTTATTTGATTATAGTGCTTCTGCTCTTTTGTCAAAGATCTGCTGACTATACAAGACCGTTTCTAGGATTTCTATTCTCCTCCACTGATCTGTTTAACTATCACTGCTTTGCTTGAATTCAGTCAGTGTCACTCATCCAACTTCTTCAATGCTGACATGGCTATTCTGAGACTTATGACTCTCCATATAAACTTCACAACACGGCGTTCTGTAAAGTAACTTGCTCCATTTTGATTGGGATTTCATTCAATCCTATGGGTCAAGATGGGGAAAATTTACATTTTTTGAGCTTTTCTATCCATGAACACAGAATACTTCTCCATTTATTTGATTTACTTTTGATTATACTCAAGAACTCTTTTTTTCTCATAAAAACCCTGCAACCTTTTGTGAGACTTCTACCGTGGGAGAGAAAGTAATAAGGTAAATGTACTAATGTAAATGGTAATGTGATATATAGGAATGGTTGTTGGTGTATAGGAAAGTCATCTCTATATATTATATTCTTGCTATTAAGGCTCATTAGCTTCAAGAAAGTTTCCCTGTTATAGACATAGACACAGACACACAGACATACACACACTCAGAGCTACTTTACCATGGTGTATAATTCTTTTACACATTATTCAATTTTCTATGTTTATGAGAGTTACTTGTCTGTAGTATTCTTGCAATATCTTTGTCTGGCTTAGGACTGGAAGTAGTGTTGGCCTCATAGAATGAGTGTTCCCTATGTTTCTATCTTCTGTAAAACTTTGTAGAGAACTAGCATAACTTTTTCCAAGGACATTTGAGAGAATCCACCAGTGAATCCATCTAGGTCTGGGGTTTTCTGCTTAGAAAGGGTAATTATTGATTTCTTTGATACAGGTTATTCAGATTGTTTATTTCTTCCAACGTGAGTTTGGCAGATTATGGCTTTTAAAGAATTGGTCCATTCATCTAAGTTATCAAATTTGTGAACATCCAGTTGGACATGCTATTCCTTTATTTAATTCCCATGGGGTCTCTAGTAATGTTCCCTCTTAAATTTCTGCTTCAGTAAATTGTGTCTTTTCTTTCTCAGTAAGCCTGGCTAGAGGCTAATTCATTGATCTTTTTGAAGAACCAGCTTTTGGTTTTGTTGAATTTTCTCTACTGATTTCTTGTTCTTAATTTCATCCATTTCCTGCTCCATTTTCAAGTTATTTCTTTTTTTCTGGTTACTGTGGATTTCTTTTGCTCTCATTTTTCTAGTTTCTTAAGATTCAAGCTTAAATTGATTTTAGATCTTTTATATTGAATATAAACTACATATTCAATGCTGTAAGTTTTCCTTCAAGCACTACTTTTGC